CTGAGAGGAGTACGGACCCGTGATCGCCTCTGCGTAAGTGCGCGGGGTCGGGATGTTCAATGCATCCGGGTCTCCCTCAGGGCAAAGTAGCGTGGACGCGAGATGAGGTGCAGCGGCCGCTAGGCACTCCAGCTCAAACTGCCTGTCCTCAAGAACGTCACAGCCAAGGGCAAGCGCACCCCCGGCGGACGGAGGACAGGAAGAGTCAAAAACAAGACTCGCAGCGTAGTTAAGGCGGCACAAAGCAGTAAAGTCAACAAGCTCAGCAACTAAGGCAGACGCAGCAGCAGACTCAAAGGAAACAACCGTGGCAAGGAGACGAGTGACAGTCGGACTGGCAGTACGGACAAGGTCTGACTCAGGGTCAGGAACATGAGGAAAAGAAGACGCAGGAGGAGACGGCAGGACAACATGCTGTGGAACAGAGGAAGGACGAACAGCCATCATGTGTGTGCCAGGGACAGGTGTAGGACGAGGACGCACATCACGGCGAGAACGGACAGGCGTGACAGGACGCGACGCAGGCTCTCTACGCTCAGTGAAGGACTCTATCACCGCAGTGTGAGAAGCAGGAGCAGGCATTGGGGAGCCAGGCAGTAGCTATGGCTGAGACTGGACAGTCGGTGGGAATAGTACCGGAGGAGTATAACCAGCAATCGGGAACTCAGTAACAGCAGGCGGGAGACTGAGAAGGTGACAAAGCGCAGACTGCTGCGGCTGAGTGGTCGCACCCCCTGAACCTCCAGCTCCAGTAGCAACAGCACCCCCAGAACCAGTACCTCCAGCTCCAGCACCGGGACTGCCCCAACGGACAGCCCACACACGAAGCTGCTGCGGCGAGAGCGACTCCTGCCGACTAGCACCACCAACTCCAGTACCTCCAGTAGCACCTCCACTGTCAGCACCGCCAGTACCCCCAACTCGTGGAACAACGGCACTAGCACCTACAGGGCCAGCACCTCCAGTACCTCCAGCAGCACCTGTGCCTCCAGTACCAGTACCTCCAGTACCATTACCTCCAGCACGGCCAACTCGAGGAACACCAGCACTAGCTCCTCCAAGGCCAGCACCTCCAGAACCTCTAGTAACACCTGTGCCTCCAGTACCAATACCTCCAGCACGGCAAACTCCAGGAACACCAGTACTAGCACCTCTAGGGCCAACACCTCCAGAACCTGCAGCTCCAGCATGTCCAGCGCCACCACCAGGACTGCCCGCAGAAGCAACCACAGCAGCAGCACCTCCAGTACCTCCAGTAGCACCAGTAGTCCCAGCACCTCCAGCTCTAGCAATACGAGCACGGCTAGCTCCACCACCAGGGCTGCCCCACTGTACAGCCCACTCGCGAAGCCGCTCCGGCGAGAGAGTCTCTTGCCGACGTGCACCAGTGCCACCAGCACTAGCAACCCCAGTACCACCAGTAGCAGAACCTCCAGCTCCAGCAGTCCCAGCACCTCCAGCTCCAGCAGTCCCTGTACCTCCCGCTCGAAGACGGCTAGCTCCACCACCAGGGCTGCCCCACTGGACAGCCCACTCATGAAGCCGCTCCGGCGAGAGAGCCTCCTGCCGACTCGTACCAGGACCACCAGCACCCGCACCTCCAGTACCTCCTGTACCCAGAGAACACTCAGCACCCCCAGAACCAGCACCCCCAGAGTCCGCACCCCCAGTGGCACCACCACATGCAGCACCAGAGTCCACAGCGACAGGCTGCAACGGCGGTGAAGACGGTCGAGGCGGAAACCCAGGAGGGACCGCCAAGCGCGCGGAGCGGCGAGGGGTCACGGTGACAGCAGGAGTCGGGTCACCCCCCTTAGCTGGGCCAGAGACGTCAGAAGAGACCTCGACTGGCTCAACCAAGGAGGACGGGTCAACCTGAGACACACTTGAGGGAGCAGGACCCTGCGGGGGGAGTGGGGCTACTGGGGGGGTCGGAGACCAGTGCGAGAGGCGAGAGGGGCACGGGGGAACCGCGGTGGGGGTGGAGACGGTAGAAGCAGACAGACTCGTCAAAAGTGACGTCCTGGGAGGAGAGGACACGACAAGAACCTGGGTGGTAAAACTGCCAGCCCGGGGCGTTGGCAGGGAAGCCAAGGAAGACGCAACGAAGAGTGCGGGGAGAGAGCTTCTCCGCGGGGGGGTCGCGACCAAGCGAAATGGCACCCCAGACCCAAAACGCCGACGCATCACCAACCTCGCCCGTCCACCGCAGAGTGGGAGAGGTCTCCGGGTGGGAGACACGGGGCCAGAGGTTGAGTTGCTCTGTAGCGTATCGGACCACAAACGGCCACAGGAAATGGGGAGCCGCCGCATGGACGAAGGAGGTGCGAGCAACCTCACTCATCAAGCCAATGCGGCACTCTGCAATCCCATTCTGTTGTGGAGACGCCGGAAGCATGAACGTCTGGCGGATGCCCTCAGCACCACAGAAGTCATCGAGGAGGCCGGAGGAAAACTCACCACCTCGGTCAGAGTGCAGTCGCAGGACCGGGAGGTCGTGCTGAAACCAAGCATTGAGTGGACGACGGACAGCACGGATCTAGCGGATCAGGATACTGCGGACCTCCGCCTTGTTTTGTAAGGGGAAGACCGTGGTGTAGCGCGTGTAGTCGTCTACAACCAGCAAGAAGTAGCGCTCTCCACCCTGTCCAGGGACTCGGGCTGGACCCCACACGTCCATGTGGAGGGTCTGCAGAGGAGCTGTGGTCGGAGGAAACGAGGAGTGAGGAGCGGCGCGCTGCCGCCCCTCGACACAGGGAAGGCACGGCGGTGCAAGCGACCTCGGGAGCGGGGGCAGGGACCTGGGAAGCCCAGAGACAAGGAGACGGGAGTGCATGCCATGAAGGCGTGGCAAGGAGGGGTGGCCAAGACGGTGGTGTCAGAGGAGAGTCTGGTGCGTGAGGAGACGACACGAGCAAGGCGCAGAAACCTCAACCGGCGCAGCTACCTGACCTGACTCAGCTACCAGTGCAGACTTAGTGGTCAGTGTGTACAGGCCAGACCTAGGCCTCCGAGTGAACGTGGCGAGGTGCTCACCAGTGCGTGAGTCCATACAGATCGCCACTAGCTCGCCTCCAGGCTGGGTGACAGTGACCCACTGGTCCTGGAGGACAGAGGTAGCCACCAAGTTCTTAGCAAACGAGGGGAGGTGGAGACCTGTGAGGAGGCCTGAAGGGGCCGCCGGACAAGGGAGAACAATGGCGCCACGCGTGACTACCGGGTTGCCGGATGGGTTGGTCAGTGTGACAGGGACAGGGGCTGTGAGCGGTGTGACTGTGGTGCTGTCGCGGAAGAAGCAGCGAGACGCGTCTGAGTCTAGGGTAAAAGTGTGCAAGGCCTCCTCAGGCTCTGCCCCTGCGCTAGCTAAGTCACACGCACCGAGACTAGTAGCCTCTACGCCACCAGGTGCCTCTACACCCCCAGTACGAGTACCCTAAAACCCTTCGCCATTGGGGCTGCCCCACTGGACAGCCCACTCACGAAGCTGCTGCGGGGAGAGAGTCTCCAGCGAACGCTGCTGCTGCTGCTGTCCACCCCCGGAACCTCCTCGTCTACTAGCGACACTACCAGCAGGAGTAGAATCACAGGTAACTCCAGTAGTAGCACCCGATAGGACAGCCCACTCACGACGCTGCTGTGGCGAAAGCGGCTTCCGCCGACGAGCACGGCTAGCTCCGCCACCGAGGCTGCCCCACCAAATAGCCCACTCACGAAGCTGCTGCGGCGAGAGAGACTCCTGCACACTCGGCTGCCGCTGACGTAAGACAGTGATAGTGGCCATGGTAGGCAGTGTCAGTCAGCAGCAGCGGCGCAAGGTTTAAAGTAGCAACTGCAGTGGCGGTAGCTGGAACGGTAGGTGCAGTGGCAGCAGTGGTAGGAGCAGTAGCGGTAGCAACTGTAGGAGCGTGCGCAGGCAGTAGCGGCAGTTGGCGGTATGCTCGGGGCAGGGCAGGAGCGCGCAGGCAGCGCGAGCACGCAGGGCAGGTCAGCGCCGGGCAGCGTGCAGGGCAGCTCTGGCGGCAGCCAGGCAGGGCAAGGCAGGGCTGGGAAGCAGGGCAGGGCGGAACGTTCGGTGGGCCCTAGGAACGATCATGCTCTAATACCATGTTAGAATAGGAAGACAGGAATGGGGAATGACTAGGAAGAAGGCAATACAAGTACAACCATAAAATGGTTGTACCCTCTATAGCTAGCATCACTATAGCCTATTAGACTAAAATACACATATGTTTGACACTTCGTCCGTCTTAGAATGCAATTCCATCGAGCATACGTAAAGGACATGAACTGTTGCGTGGAATCTGCTTTGCGAACATTCCCAATGACCATAAACCAACTCATTACAGAATGATTCCTTGGAGATTGC